TGCTGGTAATAATGAATGTAGTTGACTTTAAATTTTATGACCATTACATATCCACAAACATGGCCCTTCAACTGATTTAAGGAATGTAACAGCCAGTGGCCCTCATGTTCCATTTCCTCATTGTTGGTAAGACCTGTTTTCAGTGAGGATGGTTTTACACAGCTTTTAACAATATTCCAGCAATATCATGGCTTCACACATTGTACCCATGTGGGGAATCAAACCCGGGTCTTCGGTGTGACTAGGCTACCCCACCACCCCTTTTGAATAAGACTTAAGTTGGATAGAAATAAACACTAAATACATCAGTTTGTGAGGTATTTATTCAATTTCTTTTTGACACAAACAAAACTATACAGGTTCCTGAAAACACACTACATGCAACTGCTGTCAGGGGTAATGTTTACATCTTGTCGCTGCATGACCTTGACCTTTGCCTGATGTGGTGTCTTGTATTCCAACTGAAGGGCCACCTCCAACAGCCATCCATGCAGGCATGATATCACCTGTAGGGGGTGATGCTCCTTCCTTTGCCATTGTTAAGAGGAGGGCAGCAGAGATCAAGAGAGAAAGGGAGAGCCTTGAAGAGGATCCAAGATCAGGAAGACCTTCAACCACCACCCACAAAAGGAAAATGTTGATAAATCACATAATATGATAATGGATGATGTGGACCCTACCACATGTCATGAGATAGCTGAGAACCTTCTGAGGTATGAATTGGGCATGACAAAGGTTTCACCACACTAGATTCCAAGGATTCTGACTCTGTCCTTGTAGCATAAGTTTGATCATTTCTGTGGCCAGTGACTAAACTTCAAATGAAGTAGCCCAGACACAATGATGTGTGTACCATCCAAACAACCCTGCTCTTACCAAGGGGGGTGGTTCACATGACAACATACAGCACTGTCTGTAGTCTGTTACATGATGGGCAGTGCTTTTGATGTCATCTCCAACCATGATAAAGGAGCTGACATCAGGTCTCCTGGGCCTTAAGTTTAACAAGGGCCAACATTTCAGTAGTTTCCTTGAGTAGACTTATTATTTGAGCTGACGCACTAGTTAACTACCTTTCATAAATGAACACATAACATCAACATGAAAGCAAAAACATTTCTCCCAATAATGAAACACATTAGAAGTATTTTGTTCGGTTATCTGTAGAGTTAACCAGGGAAAACTGAATTTGGAATTAAATGTGCAGCATTGAAAACAAAGGCTTTTCTCCATTAGATTACATACAAACTCTTTGGTTTTTGTGAAGATATTAAGTGAAGTGTGATGGGTTGAGTCTTTAGTTCTGCAATTTCAGAATTGTCTGGATCTGAATTAAATAATCCCATAGTACTGCTCCTTCATGAGCCAAAATGGGCACGCCAAAGAGAACATTCAGCAAGCCTTGCAAGGTTTGGTTCAACATAACCTGTCACTAACATGATGTCACACAGCTCACTGTTATTAAAAAAATATGACAGTGGGAGTTAAATGTAAATTATCAGGCATTTATAAAAGCTGATTAATTTAAAGTAATCTGAAAGGTACTTTCATATTGTTATTTGATGTACTGAAAATATACTATACTAGGTATACTATAAATAGACATACACATGACCAATACAATTCTACGGCACAAGGTCATTTGCCCTATCAACATGGCAGAAATTCTGCATGATCAGAATAATATGATTATGGATGATGACGACCCTACCACATGTCAGGAGATACCTGAGAACATTCTGAGGTATGAATTGGGCATGACAAAGGTTTCACCAAACTGGGTTCCAAGGATTCTGATACCTGATTAGAAAATAGCCTTGAAAGAACTCACATTCATATATCCTATCTTCCCTTCTGTATACAGAGAGCAGCCTTCACATTATCCCTGTGAATGTGGCCTATCTTCCCTTCTGTATACAGAGAGCAGCCATCACATTATCCCTGTGAATGTGGCCTATCTTCCCTTCTGTGTACAGAGAGCAGCCATCACATTACCCCTGTGAATGTGGCCTATCTTCCCTTCTGTATACAGAGAGCAGCCATCACATTATCCCTGTGAGGCCTATCTTCCCTTCTGTATACAGAGAGCAGCCATCACATTATCCCTGTGAGGCCTATCTTCCCTTCTGTATACAGAGAGCAGCCATCACATTATCCCTGTGAGGCCTATCTTCCCTTCTGTTTTCAGAGAGCAGCCATCACATTATCCCTGTGAGGCCTATCTTCCCTTCTCGTATACAGAGAGCAGCCATCACATTATCCCTGTGAGGCCTATCTTCCCTTCTGTATACAGAGAGCAGCCTTCACATTATCCCTGTGAATGTGGCCTATCTTCCCTTCTGTATACAGAGAGCAGCCATCACATTATCCCTGTGAGGCCTATCTTCCCTTCTGTATACAGAGAGCAGCCATCACATTATCCCTGTGAGGCCTATCTTCCCTTCTCGTTAACAGAGAGCAGCCATCACATTATCCCTGTGAGGCCTATCTTCCCTTCTGTATACAGAGAGCAGCCTTCACATTATCCCTGTGAATGTGGCCTATCTTCCCTTCTGTATACAGAGAGCAGCCATCACATTATCCCTGTGAGGCCTATCTTCCCTTCTGTATACAGAGAGCAGCCTTCACATTATCCCTGTGAGGCCTATCTTCCCTTCTGTATACAGAGAGCAGCCATCACATTATCCCTGTGAATGTGGCCTATCTTCCCTTCTGTATACAGAGAGCAGCCTTCACATTATCCCTGTGAGGCCTATCTTCCCTTCTGTATACAGAGAGCAGCCATCACATTATCCCTGTGAATGTGGCCTATCTTCCCTTCTGTATACAGAGAGCAGCCATCACATTATCCCTGTGAGGCCTATCTTCCCTTCTGTATACAGAGAGCAGCCATCACATTATCCCTGTGAGGCCTATCTTCCCTTCTGTATACAGAGAGCAGCCATCACATTATCCCTGTGAATGTGGCCTATCTTCCCTTCTGTATACAGAGAGCAGCCTTCACATTATCCCTGTGAGGCCTATCTTCCCTTCTGTATACAGAGAGCAGCCTTCACATTATCCCTGTGAATGTGGCCTATCTTCCCTTCTGTATACAGAGAGCAGCCATCACATTATCCCTGTGAGGCCTATCTTCCCTTCTGTATACAGAGAGCAGCCATCACATTATCCCTGTGAATGTGGCCTATCTTCCCTTCTGTATACAGAGAGCAGCCATCACATTAAGTCAGTAAGTGTGGCCTATCTTCCGTTCTGTATACAGAGAGCAGCCATCACATTATCCCTGTGAATGTGGCCTATCTTCCCTTCTATATACAGAGAGCAGCCATCACATTATCCCTGTGAATGTGGCCTATCTTCCCTTCTGTATACAGAGAGCAGCCATCACATTATCCCTGTGAGGCCTATCTTCCCTTCTATATACAGAGAGCAGCCTTCACATTATCCCTGTGAGGCCTATCTTCCCTTCTGTATACAGAGAGCAGCCATCACATTATCCCTGTGAATGTGGCCTATCTTCCCTTCTGTATACAGAGAGCAGCCATCACATTATCCCTGTGAATGTGGCCTATCTTCCCTTCTATATACAGAGAGCAGCCATCACATTATCCCTGTGAGGCCTATCTTCCGTTCTGTATACAGAGAGCAGCCATCACATTATCCCTGTGAATGTGGCCTATCTTCCCTTCTATATACAGAGAGCAGCCATCACATTATCCCTGTGAATGTGGCCTATCTTCCCTTCTATATACAGAGAGCAGCCATCACATTAAGTCAGTAAGTGTGGCCTATCTTCCGTTCTGTATACAGAGAGCAGCCATCACATTATCCCTGTGAATGTGGCCTATCTTCCGTTCTGTATACAGAGAGCAGCCATCACATTAAGTCAGTAAGTGTGGCCTATCTTCCGTTCTGTATACAGAGAGCAGCCATCACATTATCCCTGTGAATGTGGCCTATCTTCCCTTCTGTATACAGAGAGCAGCCATCACATTAAGTCAGTAAGTGTGGCCTATCTTCCGTTCTGTATACAGAGAGCAGCCATCACATTATCCCTGTGAGGCCTATCTTCCCTTCTGTATACAGAGAGCAGCCATCACATTATCCCTGTGAGGCCTATCTTCCCTTCTGTATACAGAGAGCAGCCTTCACATTATCCCTGTGAGGCCTATCTTCCCTTCTGTATACAGAGAGCAGCCATCACATTATCCCTGTGAGGCCTATCTTCCCTTCTGTATACAGAGAGCAGCCTTCACATTATCCCTGTGAATGTGGCCTATCTTCCCTTCTGTATACAGAGAGCAGCCTTCACATTATCCCTGTGAGGCCTATCTTCCCTTCTGTATACAGAGAGCAGCCATCACATTATCCCTGTGAATGTGGCCTATCTTCCCTTCTGTATACAGAGAGCAGCCTTCACATTATCCCTGTGAATGTGGCCTATCTTCCCTTCTGTATACAGAGAGCAGCCATCACATTATCCCTGTGAGGCCTATCTTCCCTTCTGTATACAGAGAGCAGCCTTCACATTATCCCTGTGAGGCCTATCTTCCCTTCTGTATACAGAGAGCAGCCATCACATTATCCCTGTGAGGCCTATCTTCCCTTCTGTATACAGAGAGCAGCCTTCACATTATCCCTGTGAATGTGGCCTATCTTCCCTTCTGTATACAGAGAGCAGCCATCACATTATCCCTGTGAGGCCTATCTTCCCTTCTGTATACAGAGAGCAGCCATCACATTATCCCTGTGAGGCCTATCTTCCCTTCTGTATACAGAGAGCAGCCATCACATTAATTCAGTAAGTGTGGCCTACCTTTTCCTTCTGTACACAGAGTGATGTGTCAGTCGAACAGTGACAGTAGCCAATATAGTAGCCAACTGAAATCTGTTTCTTATACAGTGGTGAAGCAACTTATATGCAAAACAACAATTGTTTTTACTTGCATTTCGCGGCAATCCATCAGTCTGTCTGCTAAAGTAACTGTCCTTTGTCACAGGGAAGCGACTCTAACCCTTGTCTATGAGACATCACGGCCACGTTCAGACGTTGTTGACAGTCGGCCTGTTCTATCATAACGTTAAGAAGTGAAGTCAGACGTATACACAGCGCCAAAACGAAACAAGGTAACAATTCATACATTTTTTGCCTAAATCCAACTATTTTTATTTGTGGAAAAGGTTTCAAGCCGCCGAGGTCTACAAGCACAGATATGGCTACTGATCCCGCTTGGCTGGGCCTAGTGCCCTCGCAAAATTGTTTCGAAATTCATATCTCCAAAGTTGCCAAAACTTATAAAATGCCTTAGTTACTTCGCCGTTCAACACTGATTTTCAGTATATTAGACTGTCCTTGTGATAATTGTAGCAATTATCCCTGTAGTTTATCCAGATTCACGATGGTTAATTCCGACTTGATCGCCGAATGACAAGTGCGACGCCATGTTTGTTTATAAACACTGAAAGTAGTCCCTACTTGACCTTTGATATTTGCATCTCTATCCGCATTTGACCCCAACGGATATCGTTTTTATCCGTTGGCTTTATCCTGCCGAGAAACCTACCCATTATTTGATAAAACAGGCTATTTCCTCAAACATTTCTCATATTCCCCATATGTTCTGAAACTAGCAACTACATCATGAGACAAAGCTATTAAATTATTTCTGCTTCTTTTCGCTGACGATATAGTCATGTTCTCGAGCACAATACCTGGCCTGCAAAAGCAAATACATGTATTAGAGAGTTATTGTGACAGGTCAAAACTTACTGTAAATATGGATAAAACCAAAGTTGTAGTTTTTAAAAATGGTGGTAACATATCCAGAAAAGAAAAATGGCTTTACAGAGAGAAGCCTGTAGAAGTTGTTCCATTTTATAAATACTTAGTCTTGTGTTTTACAAGTAGATTAACTTGGTCAAGGAATGCACATAACATTTCATTGCAAGCCAAGACAATTTTTGTAGGCATATTAAAAAGTCTTAGAGTTCTGGACAATGTTACATATGATGTTTATTTTAAAATATTTAATACAAAAATAAGCCCGATTCTATTGTATGGATCAGAAATTTGGGGCCTAGAACATTTGGATGTTATTGAGAAAATACATTTATATGCATGTAAAAGGTTCTTGGGGGTAAAATCTAGCACAGAAAACGCAAGGGTGAATGCAGACGGTTTCCCATGTATATCAATAGTTATTTAAAGGTTATTAAATACTGCGTCAAGCTATTAAATATGCCATCTTCAAGATACCAGAGAAAATGTTATAATATGATGCTTTTCTACGACAGCCATGGGAAACAAAATTGGGCATCCAAAGTTAAAAACATGTTATACGAATGTGGATATGGTTATATTTGGTTACAGCAACATCTAGATATGCCACAACATTTTTCTCCCGTTTGACACAGACTTTAAAAGATATGTACATTCAAAAATGGCATGGTTCTTTTTCCAGTTCTAGAAAAGCAAATTACTACACTACATTTATGACTACTATTATACTAGAACTTTATCTATTAAGTGTAAATTTACATAAGTTTAGAACAGCTCTTTCTCGATTTCTTCGTGGTTCACATGATCTATTTATTGAAACAGGCAGATATGAAGGTATTGCAAGAGAACATAGACTTTGTAGGATTTGTAAAACTGATTGTATTGAAGATGAATATCACTTTTTATGTGTATGTCCAGTGTATAAAGATTTAAGAGCAAAATATCTAAATAACTATTTCTACCGCAACCCAAACGGTAACAAATTTTGTAAATTAATGACTTGTGATTGTACTGAAACTATTAGAAATTTATCAATGTTCATTTATCATGCCATGAAACTAAGAAAATGTATGAATTTGTAACACGCCCCACACATTGTACTATAGGCCTTTGGCCTCAGAAGTACCATGAATAAAGATTGATTGATTGAGACAAAGCATGTTGTGTGTACATGGTCTCTTTTTGTACCCAGCAATCAAGTCAGCTAAGAGGCAGCAATAAAATTCCACCCCTACTGACATGGCGAGGTGGACAGTCTGACCTACAGCTACAGGAACAACTGGGCATCCCCTGCAGTGCCTGCCAACATCAGCTGGTCTATATCAACTGCAAGTATATTTGCAGTTCTGATGGCGCCCAGATGACATTCTGCCCTGGTTATACATGTACAGAGAGGGATAAACAAACATATATTAGCATGCAAGAAACAGACATCATGTATGTATCAATTACACACAGGCATTTTATCTAGTATTTAAGGCCACATTGCCCATTGTACAGTTGACATTTTTAGTTTCATTTGTTTAGTCATGTGATGTACATGATATCAGAAACTATCTGACAGAGAAGATATGTTCAACAATATGGCTAGTGAACAAATAACAGCAGAGTTTTTGGATTTTATAAGACTGATCGTTAACATCTTGTTTTTATGCCTGTTGTTAAACTTTGGATTGTACTTTTCTCAAAGATGTTCATACTTATCACATACTTATAAAACATGAAATTCATCCTCAATCTCTCCTAATTGGCTGTTTTTACAGTATATAGATGTTATCACGCGAGTGTGTTTGGGGATGGTAAATATCCTGCATTAGGAATAAACATTGTATTTAGCGAGCCATGGCGAGCTTAATACATAGTGTTTATTCCTAATACAGGATATTTCCCATCCCCAAACACACAAGTGTGATAACCTCTTTATCATATAATGTGATTCTTTAAATTTGTGCTTGGAAATTGCTTTCCCTCTCTCACAAACATTACCTGAACATTGCAAGTTTTCCTGGAATGCGCGCATTAATATTTATTACGTCACAGGGTAAGTGATGTGTCAGTCGGACAGTGATAGTAGCCAATACAGTTCCAACTGAAATCTGTTTCTTATATAGTGGCGAAGCAACATATATGCAAAACAACAATTGTTTTTACTTGCATTTCGCGGCAATCCATCGGTCTGTCCGCTAGAGTAACTGCCCTTTGTCAAAGGAAAGCGACTCTAACCGTAGTCTATGAGACGTCACGGCCACATTCAGACGTTGTTGATATTCGGCCTGTCCTGTCATAACGTTAAGAAGTGATGTACACACAGGGACAAAACGAAACAAGGTAACAATTCAAACATATTTCGGCTAAATCCAACCTATAATTTGTGGAAAAGGTTTCAAGCCGCCGAGGTCTACAAGCACAGATATGGCTACTGATCCCGTTTGGTTAGAACTAGCCCCCTCGCAAAATTGTTTCGAAATTAATATCTCCAAAGTTGCCAAAACTTATAAAATGCCTTAGCGACGTCACAGTTAGACACTGATTTTAAGTATATTAGACTGTTCTTTTGATAATGATAGCAATTATCTCTGTAGTTTATCCAGATTCTCGATGGTTAATTCTGACTTGATTGCCGAAAGAAAAGGGAGATGCCATGTTTGTTTATAAACACTGAAAGTAGTCCCTACTTGACCTTTGATATTTGCATCTCTATCCGCATACTCCAACGGATATCGTTTTTAAACGTTGGCTTTATCCTGCCGAGAAATCTACTCATTATTTGATAAATATAGTATATCTTCTCGACGTTTCCACTACAATGATATCAAGTCTGCTATAGAACCAGAGTATATAAGTATATTAGAGGATAAATTGATAATTAGGGCATAATTCAGAGTGTCATTACACAATTAAAATGTAAATGTTAGGCATATATGTGAAAAAGAGAAGTTGAAATAGGTTTCTGTATCAATTACACTGACATTTAAGAAAGAATTTTTACAGCACAAATAGAACATGTGTACATCAGAACAGATGCAACAATGTAAAATCATATTTGTTTGGATTTTGTAATAAAATCCTTTTTTCTGACTTGATTATATAAGGATATACTAAAAGCAAATGTTATTTGTTTTTCATAATCATTTTCATTTTCACTGATCAAAAAAGAACAGACCGATCCTTGTCAAAAGTGTGTACAGCAAAGACAGTAAACATCCTCATCATCAGAACCATTTCTTTATCTTCCGCTTGACAACGATATACCTCAATAATATTAGGATTAATAAAGTAAAAATTATTCACATAAATATTTTTTTCAACCCAACCGAACATTTTGTGTGTAAACAATCCAAAAGCAATAATACATAATACTTGCCCAGCTTGAGAGAATGACAACAGGATAGAGTACATGTGGACTGACAAATTACCAGGCTGTTCTGAGAATTAGGACACTGATTGCTGTAGGAGACACTACAAACCTGAAATCCGTAATAGGTCAACAATGGCGTCCATGAATGCAAGTGTTTTCTGTATGGAGTTTTATTCATGTCACTTATTTTTCTGCATGTGGAAAACAGCTAGTCACAAGACTCCATCTCAAACATGGATGCTAGGACAAGGGGGATTGGCATTTCCTGTACAAACTAGACAAACTGTTACTGATTAGAGACCTAGCATATATCGGAGTCTTATGTGATAATTAAATAATAGAGTCTGCAGAATACCAGTACAGTAACAATTCGTTTGCTTAAAAGCCTTATGACCCCCCTTCAAATACATTGAGTTGTCCATAGATATGATAATGATCTTATTGGGACTGTGAGGTTACATCTACCTTTTTGGATATCTAAACATTCTTTTCTGGAGAACAATTGACTTGCCTTTGCATGTGTTTATGATGGTTGCCAACTGTTGGGCAGGATAAGCTCACCTTTTCATGAACACCTGGTATCATCACTATTCGATAGTGATTCATAAACACATGCTCATGATAAAGTCAGAATCATACAAACTGCATTTGGTAAATATATATATGAACATAGAAAGGGTTTTGTTGCTAATATTTATTAATATGCATGGCATGTTATAGGAATCACAGAGTGCAATAACTAATCATTGCTAGGTCAAATGAGGAATGACTGCTAAGAGAACAGGAACTTCAGACTGCTAGGTCAAATGGGGGAATGACTGCGAAGAAAGAAGGGGCTTAAGATTGTTAGGTCAATGGAGGAATGACTGCTAAGAGAACAGGGACTGAAGATTGCTAGTTCAAATAGGGGAATGACTGCGAAGAGAACAGGAACTTCAGACTGCTAGGTCAAATGGGGGAATGACTGCTAAGAGAACAGGGACTGAAGATTGTTAGGTCAATGGAGGAATGACTGATAAAAGAGCAGTGGCTTAAGATTGCTAGGTCAAATGGGGGAATGTCTGCTGAGAGAGAAGGGGCTTAAGATTACTAGGTCAAATTGGGGAATGTCTGCTAAGAGTGCAGGGACGTAAGATTGCTAGGTCAAATGGGGGAATGTCTGCTAAGAGAGAAGGGGCTTAAAGGGGCACTGATCTAACGCAATTCCCCGGACTGGTTGTTGCCTTTGTTATTGTTTTTTCCCCCGTGAGTACCCGGATGATACGCAACGCAACTGGGCGTGACCAGAGACTGGGCTACCGTCTGCAAGGACAGTTAAATAAACTTGGAGGCTGGATGCAATATTTGTTTTACGCATTTTTGCATAAACACTGATTGGTTAACTGTGATCTATAAAGATTTCGACAAAGGGCGCATGTTAATTAATTTCTTCAGCCCAAACAAACAGACAAAAAGAACGGCGGAGCTCATCGGATGTCGTCATTTGGAAATACCCCAGATGGTTATAGTTTAATACTAAAAATAGTATCCATGCATTGAAAGCATTTTCGGATTTCGGATTGCATCGATAATACGATTACTACTCCCTTGTCATCCACGTTTTCTCGTATAACCCCTACACTTGTGTATTTGTCGTCATTCACTTGATGCTCAGTTAATGAATTTATTACAGGTACAATTAGTGGTAGCATCACTTAGATTACCTGACAAAGGTTCCCATTTGGCATTTATTGTGTCGGGGGTAATTATTCAATCTAAATCCAGGTTTTAAGTGAGGTGAAATGTGTGTTATATAATATGCACGTGGCAACCCAGCAAGAGATGAATGATCAGTTGATTTACTTTTTTTTGTATATCAACGGATCGTTCCTAGTCATCAAAGGATTAACAGAAAATACGTTGATTGATTAATCACTGTTATCTTGCACAGTGGATATGTCAAAAGTGAGTGTTTGCATGTCTAGGTTTACTAAAACAAAGGGAATACACTCATATCATGGCGTGAGGTGCCCATGTAAAAACAACATACTTTGTTCAAAGGGTTAACTGATAATACATTGATTGATTGATCATTGTTATCTATCACTCTGGATGTTTTAGGAACCGTGGACGTTATGAAAATAGTTGTCACGTGGGCTTTCTCAGCCGACCCTTGAGACTTGACACCTATGTGAAACACCTGAAACAATCCAAGTGATCAGTTGAGAAACGAACACGTGTTATAATATCCCGAAACGATATATATCTTTTAAAATATTTGATTTTTACAGAGGCACGTGACATCGAATAAGTTTCTTTGTACAGCTGCAGACGAGTGGGATATTGTTCCTTTGTGTGGATATTCACGGATACATTCCTCGAACAAGGAAGCTGCCTAAAATTTATACACATAAATTTGGTAGGTTGTAATTATGGTATTGCATTTTGTTTCCCTTCATTTGAACCGATAATTCGTTATTGTTTCTCTACGTCTTGGTTGGGAAATTCTTCAATGCGCAAAAGACGTTGTTTTCACAGGTCTTTTCCTTTGTAAGCGTGTATATATTACCGTCAATTTGTAAAATGTGATTCTCTCAGGCAATATATAAAATGTGTAAATATTTCAGTCCTTTATTCCAAATTTAAAAATTCCAAAAATTCAATACAAGCAACCCCTAAAAGGTCCCCTCTTGGGTTGCACACACTGCTTTCACCCTTTTCGGAATATACTAAATGGTCCGGCCAGGGCCGTGTGCGAAATACGCTACAGTCGGAAAGCGCACGTTAAATCTTCTATATCAGTCAGTCAGTCAGTCATTTTGACTAAAAAAATCTGTCCAGATTGATTAAGACTATCAAAAGGGCCTACAAACACCACAACAGATTATTATGTAGGATTAGAAGCCAAACAACATAGAAATGTACTTTTCAACGTAACATTTTCAGTCTCATGGTGATGACATTAAACATCAAAATGTTTGGAATTCGTTATCAT